ATTTGGTGCTCTTCTTGTCGTCATTGCGGTATTTGCGTTCATAGGCAACCTAATCGTCATTTTACTCTTTGTATTCAACCGTCAACTTCGTATATCAGCTAGCTATTTTGTTTTAAGCCTTTCACTCGCTGATGTTATTACAGCATCTCTGGTGATGACGATGGAAGCCGCCATGTTGCTGAATGACAATACTTGGAGATATGGCTACGTAATGTGCCACGTCTGGACAACAACGTATTTGTTCACAGTGCCTGTTTCAATTCTTACAAGTTGTTTATCAAGCATCGAACGTTGGTATGCCATCTCAAGACCGCTGAACTATAGAGCAAACAAAAGCAGGATTACAAAAATGACAAATGCTGGGATAATTGTGGTGTGGATATATAGTCTACTTTTTTCATTGATTCCAAAAATGGGTTGGAAACGTTTTGACATAAGTTTATATAGTTCCTACAATGGTAAAAAATATTGTATCTTTGATATAACCTACATCTACTCTATATTAAGTTCTATCTTAAACTTTGTTCTACCTTCAATACTCACTGCGTGCTTGTACTACCAGATGTTTAGATCGATGAAAATTCATACGACAACTCGACAGACTATGACAAGCACCTCTGTCAATTCGCAAAGAAGCTTAGGGAGATCACTTGCACTGATCGGTTCGTTGCTAATTTTTACTTGGTGTCCACACTCATTACTTAGTATCTTGAATAATATATGCTTACATTTACATTGTGATAAACTGATGAATATAGAGAAACTATACATTTTAGAGTTAAGTTTTTTGATATTGGGTTATTTAAATTCGGCTATTAACCCAATTGTATATGCGTCAAGATTTCGACAATTTAGAATAGCTTTTAGAGAAGCCATTGCACATATAGCAAACATTTACGATTAAGTAAATCATTGTATTGGTGCTAATTAAGTTAATTAAGATTTGTGCTCAAGTAGAATAGAACTATCAAAACCATAATAGTTTCTGTATTATTGCCTGCGGAATCGAGCGACCCTGAAGCGAGCGAGCGACGCAGAAGATCTAATTTCCTGTAGATGGGGATTTTTATCTCAAAACATTCTAGCGCAGTGCTCATGCGCGATCAGAAATGCGCAGAAAGCCTTTTTTCCGTAGTGTTTCCACGCCGTGGAACCTTGCGTTCCTAGACATTAAAACATATTAAGACATACTAAACTTACATTGATTTAGTTCACTATTCGCCACAATTTCGGAGCAAGATAGTCCTGCATGCTTTGTTTTATGAAAATATATGTTGATAAACATTTGGATAATCAGATACTTTTTTCTCTTATCTAATTTTATCCTTAATTCGAATTTGGACGTTTTAATATTCACGTGGAAGCACAAGTATTGAAAGGCCTTCGGCACTCCAGCTTCCGATCTTTGTTCTTTGTTCTTTCTGCGACGTTCTTATTGTCAGGTCTACATTATTATAAACTATAAAGTTTTGGTTTGGTAGTGTAATAAATCTGTATATGATATGGTAAATGTGCCTAGCAGTAAACAGTCGACTTATGAAATCTGATAACAAAAACTTGTGTTTTATAATTAGTTCACTTACTTGTACTGTATGTATATAAACATCAACACGCAACGCCACCTGTGATTGCCCTTTGATCCCTCAATCCTTCACAAAATATATTGAGACTTGCATATTTATCTATAAAATCAGCAAATTCCTACCATCAGGAGCAGGTCCTTCCCCCTTCGCCCTTCAAAACAATGTTGACTGTTATTGCAAGCATTGTGCTTCACAATTTCAACTCAATCACGAGCAACATTGCTCTGTAGGGGGGAGGGGGAGGAAATTATACTTTCATATGGGTAGTCTCATAATTTTTGTGAAGGATTGTCTGAAATTTAAGAGAAATTGGGAAAGGGTACTCGGTCTTCTTTATTTTTTTGACATTGTTCTTTTGAGCATTTAGCTTAGTATGCAAGTAACGTAAGAAAAACAAACAGTTTGGGTTTGTAAGAAACTGGTGTTAACGGGGGCAGAGGAAGGGAGGCGGGGGGGGGGTGTACTGAACTCTAATACTGTTTATATTGATTGTTCTTGGAGTTTTTAATCATGGCAAGAAACAAATTATACGTCCTTCATGCAGAAGCTTATCATTTTTTTGCAATTTGAATAAAAACAGAAAGGTCTAAGATACATCCCAAATCAGTAATTTTGAAATATTAATTGAAAGATGCTGCAAAGTCTGTTCTGTGCATCAGTTCTGCTCATGGGGATATAAATCCGCAGATATAAACATTGCCAAAATTTTGCATCTTTCTAAATTTTCGAATTGAAACGTGGAGTTTATATAATTTACAAGCATAGCGAACCAGAAAAGTGTTAGATATTCAGTTATATAGAAAATTAACATGTCTTACAAATATAGCAGTTCAAAAATATGTAAGCAAAGCGTTTGTTCACATTTTACGGACTTTACAGTATCTTTAAAGACGATAATTGATAAATTTGTTCAAACAAAATGAACGTCGTACTTACGAAACAGAAAACTCGACTTTATCAACGGCACAAAGAATTCTTACGTAGAAAGTTCATACAAAATAAGAATGATTTACATTTGCAACGCTTCCGAATTCCGGTTTCCTGCAGGTTTTGTTGTTGTTTTTAATCTATGCAATTATTTATTCTCCCACTTTAACATGCTTTACATGAAGTTTACCGTCAGGCTATTTCAGAACCGTCAGATATCTTACATTGTTTGCTTTGAATCGTTTCTTCCGAAGTATATATAAGTACAAATGTGCTTTGCACGAGTTACCAACGAGTTACCCCCGAGTTACCCTAAAAATCAATATATTTTTTACTATAGTATAACGAGTTACCACGAGTTACCACTAATAAAAATATTAGAAAAAAATAATTATTTAGTTTTCTAAATTTTTAAGTGGTAACTCGTGGTAACTCGTTCTATTATAGTGAAAAGTATACTGATTTTTAGGGTAACTCGTTGGTAACTCGTTGGTAACTCCTTCGTTATCAAACAGTTTATTACTTATAAAGTTTATAATGCAATGCAGATAACAATATAAGTTTAGTTAATATAATTTAATCCTATTTAACTTGGCTTAAATACTGATGATAATAATGGCATTTAAAGGACATTTCACACTTAAATTGCCACAAAATTTAATATTTAATGCGTTCTCTTTTTTACTTGATCACCATGTCAATGCGTTTATCCATGGACTCAATTGTCCTGTCAATAGATCCACAAAAGAGATACAAAAAACAAAAAGAGACAAAAGAGACAGCACAAGCGAAACACAAGAGTTTTGTGGGTGACATCATCTATAAGAGTATGAGTTACGCCCAAAAAGCCACACACAATTCTGTGCGAAAAATGTTCTGTTAACGTATGAACTTATTATGAGAACCATGCAATCAATGATAAGCAATGAATTTGAAATTGTTTACAACACCAAATCTTATGATTTATTAAGAGTGTCTGAAATTTAAGAGAAATTGGGAAAGGGTACTCGGTCTTCTTTATTTTTCTGACATTGTTCTTTTGAGCATTTACTTTAGTATGCAAGTAACTGTTGTACTGAACTCTTGAATACTTTATTTACTTGAAACAACCCGTTTACAAAGCTATCTTTTACTCTATGGCGAGTCCAAAACAATGTTGTTTTCTTTTACCTTAAATCCCATACCCCAAAAGGTGATCTGTCCCGATAACAGTCCGATCGTAATATAAACAAATGTATAACACAACATATAACATCTCTCCCCAACTACTATAATAGTCCAATCCCCCTTAAGTGTCGTAGTCTTTTAAATAACTCGGCCTCCGTGTTGTCCGTCATGGTCTTTGCCCTTTCTCAGTGCTTTCATCCGGTGTCTCCTGTTGGTTCCCCCTGTTTTCGTTCTCCGCCTCTTCGACACTCTCGTCTGATGCGTCCTGGTCATCTTCGTTGTCCGCACGCGTGTCGGATGCAATCTTTCGAAAGTACGACGCGTCCCTCGTGATCGTTCACTTGCCGTTTATCTCCCGTGCAGTTATTCTCGAGCCTTGGACCTTAGTGATTCTCAGAGGTGTTGGATTGAATGTCGGCGTCAGCTTGCTGACTTTCGTCTGCTTCACAATAACACTGTCACCTACCCGAAGTTTATGTGGCCGCAGTCCGTTTCTCATCTTGGATTTGTATCGTTGGTCTCGTATACGGTCTATAACATGGTCGGTTGGTATCATAAGTGGAAGTACTGTTCTCATTTCGTTTCCGCCTTGCAATCGTCTCTCAGGGATTTCCCTTCGAGAGTTGCTGCCTGCAGAGCTTCTTTCATACTCCGGTTAAATCGCTCAACAGTTCCGTTTGCTCTGGGCCATTCCGGAGTAATGTGGTGATGGCGGTATCCACTGCTTTGGGCAAACTGTTCCATCTATTTTGATTGGAAAGGCGAGCCATTGTCCGATTGACATACCGCTGGAACACCTTTGTTGGTGAATATCTTCTCCATGGCTGCGATTGTGGTGATCGCATTAGGTGCATTTCGAAACCATGCCATCTCCGGCCATCGACTGTAACGGTCAATCATGATGAATATACTGTATATTCGCCGTTGGGTTAAGGGCCTTGGAAGTCCATTTCCATATACTGCTATGGGCCAATTGGTACCTCCGACAGTTTGACTGGCTGGTCGTTATTTGGTGGTTGGACAGCTTGGCACGGTAAGGATCCTCGCACCTGGTTTTCGACGGCCTTGTCCATCCCAGGGAACCAGCAGAATGTCCGTAGAAGATGCTTTGCCTTGCTAATTCCTTGATGTGCGCGGTGATAATGACGACAACACGTGATCTCCAACAAACCACACCGTTGACCACACTCAAGTCGTGTTTGATTTTCGGGACCATGTAAGGTTTTAAGTCCTCGTCATTGTCGCTTATTCCAGACTTGATTGCTTTAACAAGTCTCTGGTAGACTTCGCATCTTTCTCCTTCAGCCGTAATATCCTACACCGTCACTGTTCCTTGTTTATTAAGGGCGTGGCAGTACCCGCTCTCAACAACGCTCTCCGCTGCTGCTTTGATCTCAAACACTCGACTTGATCCTGCTCGATCAACACGATGTCGTGACATGTAATCAGCGATGCATGTCTTTCCCGGACGGTAGACGATCTCGTACTCAAACTCTTGCACGTCCATAACAAAGTTCTCGACTCTTGGAAGTAGCTCCCGCATACCTTGTGGAACATATAGGTTAGTGGACTGTGGTCGGTAACGACGCGCAATTTTGGTGCACCGAGCAAATACTTTCGTAGCTTCCTGCATGCCCAGCGCAAGGCTAGTGCCTCTCGCTCGGTCGCGGAGTATCTGGTTTCAACCTCTTTCAGTGAGCGCGACTTGTACGTGACCGGGTGGAAGGCCCCAGTCGTCGATGCTCGCTGGACAGGAACTGCCCCCAGACCCGTGATACTGGCGTCTACAACTAGTTCGGTGTCATGTCCGATTACATAATGGTGTAGTAGTAAAAATTCGCTTAACGAGGCTTGCAACTTGGTGAATGCTTCTTGGCACTTTTCGTCCCACGCCCAGATGTTCTCCTTCAGCTGTTGCCGCAGAGGGTGGACAATACTCGCGAAGTTTGGAATGAAACGTTCATTACACCCTGCCATCCCGAGGAAGGAGCGCAGCTGCTCCACTTTATTTGTGGGTTGACTTGCATCTTGTAGATCCTTTACATTCTTTGGGTCGAGTTTTATGCCCTGCTTGTTGAACACCAGCCCGACGAATCGCACCTCCTCTACATCAAAGACACACTTATCAGGATTCACGGTGATACCATTACTCGTTAAGGCTGACAGCACTTTTTGCAGGGCTGCATCATGCTCTTCGACTGACCCGCCAATCAAGATATCATCCGCCGCTATATTCACCTGGCTTGGGATACCGGACAGCATCTTGTGCATCTCCAACTGGAGGATATCTTGGGCAGATTTGGTTCCATAATTGAGCCTTTTGTAGCGGTTGAGGCCATCAGGGCCATAAAAAGTGGTGATGTTACGCGACTGTTCGCCGAGGACAAACCGGTGGTATGCTTCTTTGAGGTCCAGTTTAGTGAAGCGTTCTGCTCCTTGAAATTTGTTTACAATATCAGCCATTGTTGGTATCTGCGTATACGGGCGTTGTATGGCTCCGTTGGCCATGCGCATGCATGTCGATGCAGAAACGAATTTCTTTGGAATCTGGTTTGGGTGCAATCACCGGAGAGCTGACCCAACTGCGTGGCTGGTTATCTGGGACTCGTTCTATGATGTCTTGGTCCAGGAGGTCTTGAATCTTGCTTTCTGCCGGTCTGAGTGATTGACTGGTATCCGTCTCTGTTTCTGTTTCTGGACCACTGGTGTGACACTATCATCGATCATCAGGGACACCTCATTCGCTTTGGCTTTGCCGATCTTACCCGTGGACACCTCTGGGTTATCCATAATCATGTCAGCTATCTTTTGGCGCCTAGGCATTGCCAAAACTTCCTTGCAGGGCTCAGACATTCGCTTTACTAGGAACTTCTCATTATACCGGATCAATTGGAGCTGTTTGGCTGATTGTTCGGAAAGTAGTGGATAGGCGGATGGTTCAGATGTCACATATATCTCAGTGTCGACTGTCCGATCCCCAGCTATCAGCACTGCCTTGAATGAACCGATGACCACCAGTGGTGTCTTACCCCCATATGCAAATAGCTTGATGTTTGTCGGTGTCAACTTTACTTCCCCCCGAGTCTTTTCTTTAATTAAAGCTGCGGAAGTGTGCCTCATCCCAGACGTCTTTTTGGGTCCCGGTATCCGGTTGCCACAGAACTTCTTGGTCGTTAGTGCAGACTCTCATCAGCGATGGCTTTTCCCTCATCCCAAGGTTGTTAACTAATTCGATCTTGGCTGTGTCATACTCGTCAGTGTCGGAGTTGGTGTCGTTTCCTGTGTCAGTTTGGGGTTCTGCTTTGATGCGCTTGATTCCTGCTTCCTTCTGTTTCTTGAAGCACTTGCTAGCATAGTGTCCTTTCTTTTTACAGTAATTGCAGATTCTGGATATGGCTGGGCACTCCGAAGCAGGGAAATGGTTCTCGTGTCCTCACCGATTACACTGGTCTGTGGTCTCCTTCTGTTGTAACGGTTGATTTCCTTTGACCCCCCCCCCCCTGTTGACTACCTGTCGAGAGTCCCAGTCTATTACTTTCCTTCGGGCCACAGCATCTTCCTTCTTTCTAGCGATATCTAAGATTTGGGCCAGTGTTCTGTCCTTCTGTAAAAATTTTAGGCGAACGGTGTCATCTTGCATATTGCTGCTGATCAGGCTTTTGTTCATTTTCTTCGCCGACCAATTTGTAAAATCGCACTTGCTCGTTGCTTTACGTAGCCTCATCGCATAACTTTTAATACTTTCCGACGATTCGATTTTCATGCGGAGTAATTCAAAGATAGCAAAGTCGTTGCACTGTTTTGGTGAAAAATGTATTTTCAATTTGGTTTTAGATTGCTCATACGCGGTCCAGTTTTCTTTCTCGGTGCCTTCTGGTCTGCCGGCTTCTGGCAGAGTGACGTGCAGGTCTTCCACCTCGGTGCCTGCGTATATTAATAGCGCCATTTTGGCTATTTCTGGTGTTTTACTAGGATCACATCCCTTATACTTGAGGTCTCTCAAACCGTACAAACCGCTTTTCCCATCGTTTCCCCAGGTCTAAGTACCGATCTCCGTGAGGATCGAAGGGTAAAACTTTTGGCTTGGGTCCTTTTGTAGCCGTAACGGCTGCAGAACTTGTCGCTATTGTTGTACTGAACTCTTGAATACTTTATTTACTTGAAACAACCCGTTTACAAAGCTATCTTTTACTCTATATCGAGTCCGTATCCAAAACAATGTTGTTTTCTTTTACCTTAAATCCCATACTCCAAAAGGTGATTTGTCCCGATAACAGTCCGATCGTAATATAAACAAATGTATAACACAACATATTATTATTTAATTATTATTTAAATTTATTTAAACACGGTAACCTATCAGTTTCCTGGTTTTCATAGGGCCGTGCATCTATTTACAAAAGTATACTATCTACAGACTAAAAACTAATTAATATCGTAATAACAAAATAGCATGCAATAATTGTTTTAAATCATATATATCTATAATAGTGACATAAATCATGCAAACACTCAACAATCTATGACTTAAAATATCCATTAATAGTACTTTTGAATGAGTCAATAGAGAGTTGATTGTAGTTATCCCTTATTTGCATAGGTAGTTTATTCCATGATGATGATCCACGATAAGAGAAACTATTTTTCATAAAATTCGTCTTAGGTTTTTTTAAACAGAGATTTCTGTTATTACTTCGAAGGCTATAATCATTGTTGAAAGTAGCGGTGAAAAGGTTAGATAAATACTTTGGTGCGAAACTTCTGATCGCTTTAAAAGTCATCACAAGTTCGCGTTTTTTCAGAGTGGTTTCTAGTGGTTTCCAATTAAGTTTCTTAAAAATGTCAGAGGAACGTATCTCATAATTAGAACCTGTTATCACACGAGCTACTCTTTTTTGCAGTTTAACAAGCTTGTTCATATTTGTATTATTTCCATCATGCCATACATTGGAACAATAAGTTAAATGGGGTAAAATTAGCGCGTTATACATTGTCAAAAGTGTTTGTTCAACAGTAACGTGAGATAAACAAACAGTTTGGTTTGTAAGTAACTGGTGTTAAGGGGGGGGGGGCAGAGGAAGGGAGGCGGGGGTGGGCTACTGTGCTCTAATACTGTTTATATTGATTGTTCTTGGAGTTTTTTAATCATGGCAAGAAACTAATTATACGTCCTTCATGCAGAAGCTTATCATTTTTTTTGCAATTTGAATAAAAACAGAAAGGTCTAAGATAAATCCCAAATCAGTAACTTTGAAATATTAATTGAAAGATGCTGTAAAGTCTGTTCTGTGCATCAGTTCTGCTCATAACAAAGGGGACCCGCACATATAAACATTGCCAACATTTTTCCATCTTTCTAAATTTTCGAATTGAAACATGGAGTTTATATAATTTATAAGCATAGCGAACCAGAAAAGTGTTGGATATTCAGTTAGTATATTAGCATGTCTTACAAATATAGCAGTTCAAAAATATGTAAACAAAGCATTTGTTCGGGTAACTCGCGGGTAACTCGTTGGTAACTCGTTGGTAACTCCTTCGTTATCAAACAGTTTATTACTTATAAAGTTTATAATGCAATGCAGATAACAACATAAGTTTAGTTAATATAATTTAATCCTATTTAATTTGGCTTAAATGCTGATGATAATAATGCCATTTAAAGGACATTTCACACTTAAATTGCCACAATATTTAATATTTAATGCGTTGTCTTTTTGACTTGATCACCATGTCAATGCGTTTATCCATGGACTCAATTGTCCTGTCAATAGATCCACAAAAGAGACACAAAAAACAAAAAGAGACAAAAGAGACAGCACAAGCGAAACACAAGAGTTTTGTGGGTGACATCATCTATAATAATATGGGTTACGCCCAAAAAATCCACACCCAATTCAGTGCGAAAAATGTTCTGTTAACGTGTGAACTTATCATGAGAACTATGCAATCCATGATAAGCGATATGCTACTTTTTTTACAATGAATTTGAAATTGTTTACAACACCAAGTCTTATGATTTATTGAGACAATCCTTCACAAAATGTATTGAGACTTGCATATTTATCTATAAAATCAGCAAATTCCTACCATCAGGAGCTCGTCCTCCCCCCTCCCCCTCCCCCTTCAAAACAATGTTGACCGTTATTGCAAGCATTGTGCTTCACAATTTCAACTCAATCACGAGCAACATTGCTTTGTTGGGGTGGGGAGGAAATTATACTTTCACATGGGTAGTCTCATAATTTTTGTGAAGGATTGCGGGTCTTGGCTACTTTTTATTTAGCAATTATTCGCCGAAGGCGAGGTGAATATATCGCTGAGTAAAAACCGAGACGAAGTCGAGGTTTTTATTCAGCGATATTCACCATGTGCGTACGGGAAGGAAAAAAATTAGGAGGGCGGAAAGCAATTTGCCCGACTTTTTCGGATTGTGCCCGAGTTGTCCAAAAAAAGATTTCCAGAGAAACATTTCAAAATTTTTGTCCACGGGGGGGAGGGATGAGTGATCACAAAAAATTCTTATTAGATAGCACATTTCCCACAAAATTGACAGAATTTCCCACCAGTTTGTCAAAATTTGTCCCATTTATTTTTATAATAAGCCAATATTGCCCGACTGTGAAGCGAATATTGCTCTACAAGCTGCCGCCCCCCCCCACCCCCCCTTCTCCCCTCGGGCCGGTAGGCCCATGCTATTCACCGAGCCTGAGGCGAATATTTGCTTTAGTATAATCACCAAGGTGATTGTTTGAAAAAATAATATAACACACATCAATCTTTTTTCGTACGGCGGTGACTTTAGGTTTTTATATCCAGAGCCGCTCATAACGTCATCAAGATTGCTTTTTTATAGTAATTTCCATCACTTTTCCTTATGGAAACGTAAAATTTTGATAAACATGTGTTTATTCCGTCAATATTCATGTTTTTAAACTTGTCATATGTGGATTCTGACTGTTGAATTGTAGAAACCAATCTATTGTAGAAAATGCATCTTTTACAAACCTAAACAAATATCTAAACTATTTTATGGCAATTTAAATAAAACGATGTTTTATACGAAATAAAGTTAATTTAAGCAAAATTCTGCAACGTAGTTTCCCATCTCAAAATAATTGTAAGCCAATTTTGTCGCTTGTTTCGTGCTTTTAGGTACAGTATTTTCTTTAAAATTAGTAACTTATTTCTTCATCTGTCACTCTCGCCGCCATTTTGAAAAAAAACCCCGCTTATGTGATTATCGCATAATAATCCGAGATCGCTTGACCACAATCAGCGGCCACAATTATTTTCGATAATCACCTTTGTAATTATACTAAATACATTTATTGCTTTTTCTCAGTTCCACTCGTGGTAATAATGAATTCCTTGCTGGCTCAAGCTCACAACTCACTAGTCACTGCCAGTGATAACTGTGCTTAATAAAATTTGTACTATTTAGTGCTATTTGCTTTTGAAGGCAAGTACTAAAACACGGAACACCAATCCGGAACACCAGAACAGCACGAAACACTTCCGGAACACACGGAACAGCCGGGAACACGTAAGGAACAGCACGGAACACCTCCGGAATAGCACGGAACAGCCCGGAACACCTTCGGAATAGCACGGAACGCCTGCGGAACAGCACGGAAGAGCCATGTACGCCACCGGAATCGAACGGATCAGTCCGGAACAGTTGGAAACAGTTCGGAAAACCACCGGAACACCTCCGAAGCTATGGCTTTTAGCCATTTAGGCACCAATTAGGGCTATTTTTATAATAGAGAATGAGGGAATGCTACAATTTCATTAACTTATGACACACATTAAAACGTTTACCATAAACGTCTTTTGTTGTTTCGAAGAATATTCATAACTGGTACTCGTGTTATTTCAGTAGTTATTTTCTCAATTTTCAAAGCATATACTGATTAGAAAATACATTGAAAGAAGTTATCTTAAAGATGCGGTAAAGTCCGTTCTGCGCATATATTCTGCGCATCAAAACATTCCATCAGTGTGGGAGCAACCTTTGGAATGTTGTTAATATTTCGCCCCTTCCGAACTTTCTTGAATTGAATCTCTAGTCTGTACTCATTTACAAGCATAACGAACCAGAAAAGTGTTAAAAATTCAGTATAATATATATCTAATCGTATTTTACAACTGTAGCACTGAGTTCAAAATGTAAACAAAGCATTTGTTTACATTACGGACTTTACATCACCTTTAAAATATCCGTTTTTTAAAGAGAGCACGTCAGGACTCAAACTTTGTTTCATATGTTTAATATAATCTAGTATATACATATTGTATCAAACAAAACCAAACCAAACAAAGTATCGAAATAAGTTAACGTTTCTATCAGGCAATGTACAGTAGAAGTTTTCATATGAAAGCGTCATGCATCCGGGCGAAATATCCGACCTCTTGATTCAACCAGAATTCCCACAACTTTTAAGTTGAATACATCCAAAGGCTCGATTAAGCATGCAAAATTACTTCAATAGAATTCCTAATTACGTTATGCTTGGCTAAGAATTTTATTCAAATCAGCAAACAAAAACATTCTGTTACGTCTCGATTCATTTGAGAAGCTATATAACAACTCGAGCTCGTGTCTCACCGGGATATACAAACATTCGAAAACAATGTGTGAAAACACTCACGCTTCGCGCTTGTGTTTTCATACATTGATTTCTCGTGTTTGGATATCCCGGTGAAACACTCAATCAATCAATCAATCAATCAATCAATCAATCAATCAATCAATCAATCAATCAATCAATCAATCAATCAATCAATCAATCAATCAATCAATCAATCAATCAATGATATATTTATTTCTCATGTGTACAGTAACAGAGCGGTTATAAGATAGGGCGGTGAAACGAGCATTGGCGCCCTGAAACATGTGTGATGCACAGACCCCCGAGCAAAGACGAAGCTGTTGAATTTGAATCAATTTTTAGTCCGGATGATATCGATCTGGTAACAGATACGTCAAAATTATCTTTAACAGTGGAAACGAATACTAGTTTTAGTAATAAAGACTTAATCAGCGTGCTAAAACGGGTTTCGTTGAGCAAGATAAAGCCCGATCGAAGCTGAATTTGCAGCAAAAATTCCCGCAAACACGCTTGAGAAGGAATACTTCAAGCCTTTGTATTGTTTTGTGTCATCACTTACCGATGCATTTAGACAATGCTGTGATCGTGCAAATAAAGTGAAGAGTGATAATCTACGGGCTATCAAATTAGAGAAGGAGTTTTCGGCGCTTAGATATGACAAAACGTCGGCACTCTACATCAGTTGGAAGCAACTCGTGGCTGATACATGTGGTGCAAATTCTTGCCAAGTCGAAGCCGAAGCAAAGATTGTTTATCAACACATTTTGCAGTATTTTGGGAGTTTTGTGGCACTGAAATTTAGTGCGAGCTCTGATATCACAGGAATTGGAATTCAAAAGAAGACCGATTGTGTGGATGAAGCTGAAAAACAAGCTATCCGTCACCATGCTGGCTGGGCGGTGAAAAGGGCGCGAGATGGAATTCTTTCTTCCTCGGTACCTTTTTCAATAAAACGATCAAAAGATGACAGCACTTCAACAATGGTTTCAAAAGAGTGTTTACTTAACCTATTAAAAACGATGGGATACGATCATCGTCATGACTCTGGAAAATTTTATTTATAATTAATGATGCTCTCCTTGATTTTTTTATCGTTTTACATAAAGAGATGGAAAATTTTTTCAAATCTGGCATTGATAAAGATACAGTAATTCACTGTTTAAAGTACTTGTCGGAAAGCAAAGATTTGCGTGCTGAGTGGAGGAAGAATGTTGGTGATTTGACAAGTAACCAGGAAGAAGCAGGAAGTGTAATTCTTTTACAAACAATAACGTATCTCAATGTTTGCAAATTTAAGTCCAAACAACAAATCATTCGGGAGCAGCTAAGTCTTAAACCCCAGAAACAGAGTAAGAGTTTGCGACAAACACTATCTGCTGGCACTAAACTAAAAAAAACCTACACCTCTATATTGATCCAGACTGGAATGTAAAGTGTCCAGTGTACAAACACAAACTTTGTGGCGTACATTTGTTTACATAGACTAGTAATTGTTCAAATTCAACAAATATGGACCAAATAGGTTTATACTAAAAAGGTGTATTTGGAGCTTTTGCACATTTATGTCTCCAAGATTGGCGTACAGTTCCATGCGCCTGAATCGATGTCTGGCATGCAAAAATTCAACTTTCCAGACTGGACATTGATGGTCAAAAAGTAAGTTTTATTTTATAATTCTTCATACAGTATACAAAAGGTTAAAAAGAAATATCCACCACTGTCCCATTATTGGTTTTAATTTTTTGGCAACACTACACAATATAATCATGTTGCTGTCTTAGGGCCTGTTTATATGGAAGCCAGGCTGGCCCGTTAAGGTTACAGAACTCCTTTGAATGTTCATTTTGCCTAATCTTTTTTATTGGTTTCCATGAAAGAATTAGACTAGTTCTACTATCTGACCAAGTTTGGACGAAAAATTTTGAAAACTCGCAAAGTTATTTAATAAAATACATTTCGCTGCAATAAGAAAAACATTGAAAATGTAACATTCAAATTCAATTTTCTCCCGAAAAATTTTACGGTAATTACTGATTTTCAAACGAGATCTGCTCCTGCGAGTTTTAAGCAATTTTTCTCAAATTTTCAGAGGACATAGCTAAAGACGCCAGTTTCAACATAATGTTCGCCTTTTTTTAATTTTGGATATTTTAATAATAAAGAGCAATTCACTCAGACAAACTATTCAGAAATATATTGCAGTCGTCAAAGAAATCGCCATATCAGCGGAATGACGAAATAAACAAAAAATTCCGAACACAATTTTGTAGAACAACTATTTTACTGTATAAAAATGATATTTTCATAAATATAACTTAAAACCAGCCGGAGCACAACTCAATAGCGTAACGGTACCGCGATTTAAGATTTTCCTCAATAATTCTTACATTATTTTATTGTTTGTTAATTTTACAACTTTACCATATTTTGCATACCCTGGCGAACGTTTGGTGAAAATTTGATTAAAATCGGACTGATAGTGAGCGCGCAGTTGCGGTTTTTCGCAAAACGCCAGAAAGGGTGTCCTGTAACCTTCAGCGAAACAGCCCAGTAAGCGAGATCTCGCTATGTAGTTATTTTTATAGTAAAAATTATTGTGCGTTTACATGGACAAACGGGCTGTTCCAGTTGCTGAGATATCGCTTGAAAGTGGCGAGATTTTGCTGACTAGGATGGAAATTTTTCCATATAAACAGTCACGAGCGGGCTAGCCCAGTTGCCAGGATGAAAGATCAAAGAAACTGCCGGAAGCTATTTTTAACAACTGTCAAAACAATGTCAAAAACAAAAATTGTCCCGGCAAGCTGCATGGATGAAATTTTCTCATATCCAGGCCAGCCCGGCTTCCATATAAACAAGCCCTTGATTTGAAAATTTTCTGGGTGCAAGAGCATCACCAATTGTAGGTATTTCTTTGGAGATAGGTTATCTACTTATACAGGGTGTTCCAATAAAAGTGACACTATAGAAATTATCATATTGTTGTTAAGCAAAGGATTTCATGCACATGCATGGTAATTAAAAATTCAATTCAATTGTGGTCACGCATTATTGTGTTCAGCATAGTGCCCAGGTGTTCAAATTATAACAATAGGATAATTGCTATAATGTTACTCTTTTGGGGATACCCTGTACACAATGGAATATTCATCCTGAACTACCATTGAAAGTAGAGACACGACATGTGTTCCTATACGTCAATGTACCATTCGACTAAATTGTAGATACTGTTTTCATTTCTTCTTTTTGGGAGATTGTTATTGCCATCAAAGTAGGTCATTGTTTCTTGCAGTTCATATACATTTGTTTGCTTGTTTCCCAGTGCCTTTGCCGTTTGAGCACAACTGTAGCCATTGATGTTGTATGAGTAAACAAACGCTGTCATATTTTGTGTGCCGCCACACATTTGCCGTTGAGACGAAAAGCAGGGGTTATTCTAAGCTGGATTTGCTAGGTCTTTCTGGAGTTGGAAAAAAAGATCTGGAGTTGTAAATGAAAAACACTGGAGTTGTGACTGATATAATATTCCTCAAAAGTTGGCATATTGAAGTGAACGTATATAGATAAAGATTTTGTGTTTCGACATCAATAGAATTCCTCAGCGATGTTTTTACAAGGTTGCATGCACTGATTAACCTTTCATCATCGCACGAGTGAGGTGCTGCCCGTATTCTGGCAAGGGTATGACAATATTGGGGTAAATGTTTCGTTTTCGTGCCAAATAGGCCCTACTGCCCCATCTGAGCTAAACGTAGGTTTTGGAGAGTACGTATCAGCTCTGGTGATGTTATACAATGCTGTTAAATTCGAGAGAAAGTTATATTAACGGTAAATCTGAACATACAGTATTGTTTCAGAAAAAGACAAAAGCTATGTTAATTACAGGAAAACGTCTATCTGCAAAAATGGAGACAAAAGAATTGGACTTACAATATGAACAAGTTTCAAGCGCGAAACTGCTTGGGTTACACATGGACGAAGAACTGACTTTTAATGAATATGTCCATGCTATTTGTAAAAAACTAGCAAAACGTATTGGAACCTCGAAACGTATAAAGGGCTGCTTGCCTGTGACTCAAAGAATCCTTTAATACAATCATGTCATTGAGCCCATTATGATGTATTCGAGTGCTGTGTGGACAAACTGTCGAAAAGACTATCTGGATATGGTGTTTAAGTTGCAAAAGAGGGTTGCGAGAGTTATTTTAGACGCTCCCTACATGTCATCGATAATCCAACTCTTTAACCGGTTGAAATGGCTTCCATTTTATGAAGAAAGTAAAGTAAATAAAGCTGTATTTGCTTTTAAGAGCATAAATGGCGAGACTGCTCCTTATTTACATGAAACGTTAAAATTAAATCGTGAGCAACATTGCAGAAATACAAGATACGCCGAAGTTAACTTCATCTGTCCAAAGTATAAAAGGGAAACTGAAGGAGGTAGAACTTTCAGTGTAACCACAATTAAACTTTGGAACAGTCTACCACTAAACTTAAGACGGCATTTGAATGTCCGTATTTTTAAAAATAAATATGTAGAAATTTTACATGCACATCAACAATCTCTTAGTCATTTGTAATTGTATTCATATACACCGAACCATAATTTTTAAGTAAATTTATAAATATAGATATATACTGTATTGGTAGTTTAATTTGGTGTACTTGTATTATAGAAATTGTTGTATTATTGAATTTGAGGGCTACAAGTTTATCAGTGCTTTTGTACTATTACGTATATTACTAACTAACTAACTAACTAACTAACTAACTAACTAACTAACTAACTAACTAACTAACTAACTAACTAACTAACTAACTAACTAACTAACTAACTAACTAACTAACTAACTAACTAACTAACTAACTAACTAACTAACTAACTAACTAACTAAATAACTAACTAACTAACTAACTAACTAACTAACTAACTAACTAACAAATCAGTTTCGTTCAATATTTACATGATTGCTTTATCAACTTTCTGGAAAGTGAAAGCCAAAGGTATTGAGTCTATTCGGACTAAAATGAGAAGTCTGAAGTGATTTTATTCGTCGTTATCTCTTATCAGTTTGATGCGTTGATAGATTTTGTCACTTTAGTGCTCTGTCAGCAGGGGGAAACATTTTATTTATTTTTATAAAGACACAGAAGTAAAATAATATTAATTGTGACTGCTAAATGGAAAATTATTTGACCTGAGACTGAGCGAAACTCATTCGAAGGTCATATTTATTTCCTAAGATGTTTATAGTTTATGAAGTATGTCATCAGTTTATAGGAAATATGGAATTATTGTGCACAAAAGCCTATATAATAACTAGTACAAATGTCCTTCTTTCAAGACCTAATTAATTTTCCCACCTGCATTGACCCAAATAAGAACCTATGTCCTGAAGGTATATTACTTCTTACCTACCTCATCAACAGGTGTACCGTATGCGTGGGGTCTTACGTCACCACACCGAAAAGTGACTAACAGTTGCTGTGACAGAGTCACATGCAGTGTAACTGGAGAATAAGTAAGATGAAGACCACACCAAATTAAAAGAAATTAATTAGCCGTGCTAGTTATTCTCAGGGATAATGCAGGTCGATACAGTAGATCTCCTCCTCAAGGCTTAATACTTCAACAAAGTGGCAGAATTTTTTTATTTACTGGAGTTGTAAATTATCCTTAGAATAACCCCTGACAAAAAGAAAGATTCTACAAAGTCTTGATTTAGCTTAATTGGCATGACGAATAGCTCACCATACTCCTGAACAAACTTTTCACTTGCAATATAATTAAGGAATTTCTTGAATCCATCTATGGTACCCTTTAAGAAAAGAAAAGAAAACAAAGCTACAACTTTGGTTACAGTAATGGTTTGAAAGAAATGTTAGGATGTTTATAAGACCCGGTTAAAATCAACTTATTTAGTATCAAATAAGTTACCATGGTACTTGCGTCTGGTTCTGCTCAAATAACAATGTTTAATTAAAAAATCAAATACAGTGTATTTACCATCAAATCAAACATTGTCTGCCAGGATATAAAGTGCTTGACTTGTTCAGTTTTAGTTTCAAATTGACTTTTCAATGTTTCTTGCCAATCTTTGATGAATTTGACTACATCATCAAGCTGTTGAATAATTTCCACATCTTTTGCACATTGAATAATTTCCACATCTATTCTTTGTGAATATTGCGAGCGGTTTGTGCGCTAACTCTACCCCAAGTGAGTTGGATACAAGCATTCTTGAGAACTTTGTTTCGTCTAAATTTACTAATTACAACACTCAATTTAACATCCCTCCCATAACTGTACAGGACACTATGGAAATGATTGATATCTTTCGAGCCGGAAAGCAACCGGTTCTAATGGTATTAGTGTCAAAGTATTGAAATTAGTTGCAACCGTCTTATGCCAGCCTATAACACGAATCTTCA